GATGAGACGGTTCTAATGATCGTATTTCCATCGAAATGTAATCATTAGGTCGAAAGTTATTTCATTTAACAACATGATATTTTATATATAGAAAAAACAAAAAAAACAAAAGATGTACGATCTCGGTCATTATCACACCGATTCGTATGAAATAACTACCATTCGATTCCTTGCGACTAGATGAATCCAATGAGCTACTATTCATTGAATTTGGATCATCCCATCTCGAGATATTTGCGATTGTATTTCTAAATCCAGACTCCATTATTTAAAGTAGAATTTATTGATTTATAATTTCGGCTGATAATACAATTGCGAGTATCTCGTGATTGGATGATCCGAAATCAATGAATGTTAGCTCAATGGATCCGCCTAGTTTCGGGGAATCGAATGGTAGTTGTTTTATATGAATCGGTGCGATATTGACTGAGATCGTACATCTTTTGTTTTTGTTTTTTCTAAATATAAAATCATGTGATATGACATTATTTTGACTATTTTGCGACTTTAGCCTCCAATGGTCAAAATGATTTTGACCATTTCGACTATTTCGGATATCCAAAATGATCCATTTCGACTTCATGTATAATCAACTCACCACACTGCATTTTACTTCTTCTTTCGCATTAATTTACTATCTAAACACTGATGAACTTTGGGCTATCGTCTCTAACAATAGTTCCTTAACCTTTATCGATCTAATTAAAGGCATTATTTCTTCAAGCCTTTTCAATCATATTCAATATATTTCAAACTCACAGAAAACCACTTTTAATATCCTTTCAAACACTACCATGTACCTTTATAACTGAATCCATCATGATATTTGGCTCCCTAGATGTGAACTCATGATTGAAAAAGAAAAAGCTCTATACATCTCTGATAAACAAAAAAGAAAATACGACTGCTCTTCTACATTCACTTTTAATTGACACATTAATTCCTCATCTTTTTCCAACCAATTTATTTTTACAAATTGAATTGATTTAGTCAGACTTTCTATAATTCATGGTAGGGATTGGACACTCTTCTTGGATTGGTAATAGCTAGTTATTTTCAATTTTTCTTTATTTTCAAACTTTTTCTTTTAGCGAATAGTTATGATAGAACTTATGTTTATATATTTGTTTTTGAACTTGACAAGACAACCGGCTGGTTTGGAGGAACCTGGTCTTTTATAGGTTTTTTAATGTCTCTAGACAATAATTTTGTTTATGTTGAATCATATAGATAATACTTTAGTCTTTTTACTTTGTATTATTTGATTTTTAAATTTATTATTAATAAAATTATATTACCGCGTCTAAAAAAAAAAAACTGATCTGATTTTAACGAATTTTAGCTTATTAGAATCATCACATCTGAATATAGTATCAGTTTTTGAGTAGTTGGCCTACTGAAAAATATTTTCTACACTTAAATTTTATTAAGTAAGAAAGTTTGATGTAGATCGCTAAATTGCGCAAAATTGGTCTTAATAATCGCACTTTAAATTTTTACTGAATATTAGCTAGGTTTTAGGGTTTAAAACAAATATAAAACTATATTTCTAGCATTCGTAATTGGTGAGTTATAAGCTTTTAAAGGCAAGCAACTCTACTTGTGTTTCTTTTGTAAACCATTATATATGCTTTTGTTTAATGAATATTACATGCTATAGAAATTTAAAAAAGCTTAAAAACTAATAGTAAAATTGATATGAATACTGTAAGGCATATATTACATAGAAATAGACTTTTCTTAAGAATTAAATAAAAAGCTATATTTAAAAAAATGCATCATTAGATACATTTAAATTTTGCTAAAAAATATAAGAATTGGAAAGTTAAAAAATAAAGCAAAGTAATTTGATATTTGGATCTGATAAATATAAGTACTGCTGAAAATGGCCAAATGAATCACTTTCTGATTGATATATAATTTCTACAGTAAAGTTTAGTGAGGGCTAAAGATGATATAGCAATTAATTTCAAATTTACAACATGTTGCAATATAAGCTAAAATTAATTGCAACATATATAGGTTAAAACTAATTACAACATTTTAATTACAGTTCTTATCTTTAGTGAAGGCTGTATCATGATGTGTGAATATTTCTTTTTTTTGAAATTAGCAATATTATACAAATTTATGGAACTATGAATGATAAATTGTATTAGTAAATCTTAAACGAAGACCTTCTGGAAACCATTCAATAATAAGTATCAGTTAGATAAAAATAATATTATATTTTAGTAAGATAATGATCCTAAACATACAGATAACTTAATTAAATAGTGGTTTAAAATGATAATATTAATATTCTCAAATGATTATTATAATTACCGGATTTAAACTTAATTGAACATTTATGAAATGAGATTGATAGGTATTTTTAAAATAATTATTTATGGAAAACATAAACAAGACTAACTTTGAGATATGATGCAAAAAATCTGGGTTAATATAGATATTACATTTCTTATCAAATTAATAAAATTATACTTAAGCATATTAATAATGTAATAAATGCAAAGAAAGGTTACACCCAATAATAAACTTTTAATTTAAAAAATTTGGAGTTTTAGATTTATTTTTTTATTTGAAAAATTTATTTAATATCATTGTATTAGAAATAATTAAAAGCAATAATTTGTAAAAATTGATCAAATGTTTATTTTTTTTAATTTTTGATTATTAAGTAAATAAAAGTATATTTGTTTTATATCCTTCTGGATATAATAAATTTAAAAACAAAGTTTTTAATTTTTTGTTATTTATGTATAAAATAATTAAATTTAAAAATTTTTAGTTCAGGTTCTGCAACCACTGTATAATAAATAAATAATTATTCATTAAAATTATAAAAGTAATTAATATAAGATCATTAATAATTTAATATAATAAATAGATATTTGTTAAATAAAAAAATTATAAATTCTAATATATAAAATAAAAATTGAATTTTCAATATAATATTAAATAAGATTTTTAAAAGATTTCTTTCTAATATTTAATATTTCTGATTTATACTAGATAAATTTTTTTTAGCAGAAATAAATTAAAAAGTAACTGTAATGTTATTAATATGTATTCCTTTAATTCAAAATTTGATGACAATATGGAACTTGCTAATCTTAATTTATACAGATCTTGAATATTCACTATTCATAAACGCATGCCTGTATGGATTGCACTTTTTTATACAAGCTAATACCTTAACTAGACCACCACCTTAGCCTAAGAAATAAAGAATGGGAAAGTGATGTTCAAAGTCACGTGCATTATAATAGTAGATCGCGTTTTTCCAAAATCATTTTTTATAATTTAAAATTTTTCATCGGGCGAAATGTTACATGACAGTAAGTTTTTTTGCATTCGATAAATTTGCGAATATTCTATATCAAGTGATATTTGTTTTAAATATTTAGACGAAACTGTATATATTGACGAGGTGCAAGGCTCTGACGAAACCGGAACAGGAACTCGGGATGCTCCTTATAAAACAGCTGTTCACTCTCTTCAAACGAAAGGTGACAGTATAAAAATCCTAGTTCAAAAAACTTCTGAAGAAGGTTACAAAGATATATCAGGTGCCGCCTTAAAAAAAGCCAAGAAACGAGTTGATGACTTGGCAAAAAAAGCCAAGAAGGAAGAAGAAAAAAGGAAAGCTGAAGTTGAAAAAGCAAAGCTTCAAAAAGAAGAAGAAGAAAGAAAATTGGAAGAAGCAAAAAGTATTGTTCTTGAACAAGATTCTACTCTTCCACAGGCAATAAAGGTGAAATAAAATATATTATTATTCAAAAATTCATATATATTTATTTATCTATTTATTTTATTTAATAGATAAAAATCATGAATTCAGTTGCTAATCGTGGAAAGCGCGTTAAAGTATCTGGATGGGTTCATCGCCTTCGCACACAAGGAAAAGATATGAAATTTATAGTTTTGAGAGATGGTTCCGGATATCTTCAATGTATTCTCACCGGAAAATTGGTTCGTTTCGAAGTTTATATTCAATTTAATTTCATAATTATTGCTAATAGTTATATATTTAGTGTCATACATATGATGCATTGACTTTATCCCTCGAATCGACAGTTACTATTTATGGCGTGATATCCGAATTACCTGCTGGCAAGACGGTACAATTACACGTTGAAGTCTTGCGTTATTTTAAGGTTCTTTCCGTTAATATATTTCAATTACCAGGCTCCTGATAACCACGAGCTTCTTGCCGATTATTGGGAAGTCATTCATAATGCACCAGGTGGCGATGATGCATTTGCCAACAAGCTTAATGCTGAAGCCGATCCATCAGTATTATATGAACAACGTCATCTTGTAATTCGAGGAGATACTGCATCTACTGTGTTAAAAGTTCGATCTGCAATTATGAAAGCGTTTCGCGATCATTTCGATTCTAAAGGATTTACAGAGATTAACGCTCCTTGCATGGTTCAGACTCAGGTCGAGGGTGGAAGTACTTTGTTCGAAATGAACTATTACGGGGAAAAAGTAGGAAAGCAACAAAAAATTTTAAAAACATTATTTATAATACAATCATCTTATTTTAAATCATTGGGTTTTTTAGGCATATCTTACACAAACTTCTCAATTATATCTCGAGACATGTCTCCCATCACTTGGAGACGTATATTGTATTTCAGAATCTTATCGTGCTGAGAGATCGCATACCCGTCGTCATTTATCCGAGTGAGTCATATATTTAAACAAATATAATTAATATAATTGCGTAAAATATTTAATCCTTTATTATTACATTAAGATATACCCATTTAGAAGCCGAAATGGTTTTTATTACGTTCGATGATCTATTAAATGCTTTGGAAGATCTTATTTGCGATACAATTTCTCGTGTCCTCGCACATGAACCAACTCGCAAATTAATTTACCAACTTCATCCAGATTTTGTACCTCCTAAACGTCCTTTCTTACGTATGGACTATAAAGATGCGATTCAGTATCTCAAAGATCACGATATTAAAAAAGAAGATGGAAGTTTTTATGAATTTGGTGAAGATATTCCAGAAGCTCCTGAGCGAGCTATGACAGATCGAATTAACCAGCCAATTTTCCTTTGTAGATTTCCCGCTGAAATCAAAGCATTTTACATGAAAAGATGTGCTGATGATAAGCGGGTTACGGAAAGTGTGGACGTTTTGATGCCCGGCGTAGGAGAAATTGTGGGTGGTAGTATGAGAATTTCAAATATGTCAGAATTATTAGAAGGATATAAAAGAGAAGGTAATGTGATTTTTCTTCGATTTATTTATTATCTTTAAAAATTATCTTCTAATTACCCTTTATTTGACAATAGGAATTGATCCTACACCATATTATTGGTATACAGATCAACGAAAATATGGAACGACTGAGCATGGCGGATTTGGATTAGGTGTTGAACGGTTTTTAGCTTGGTTATTACATCGTGACACAGTAAAAGAATGTTGTTTATACCCAAGATTTATGGGACGTTGCTTGCCATGAGAATGTAAATTTCGAAAATACTTTATTATTTTGGCTTATAAATAATATTTTTATTTTTTTAATAAAAATTATAATTTAATTTTTTATCCGTCTTAATTTTTGAATTTTTTTAAATCTTTTTTGTAAATAATGTAATAGTAACGTAGTTGTGTATGTTTATTGAACTTCCAATTGAAAATTCACATTTTCTTTTTTGGGATGATAAATCGCGAAAATAAACCATTTTCCATTTGGATCATGGAACTTGTACACATTTGTGCTGACAAATTGAAGAGTCATCTGACATGATTAAATTCTGCGGGGAATAAATTCTGCGGGAAAAAAATGTTTGATGACGGAGTACATGTACAAAAAATTTTTAGGGGCTTTGAGATTAGCGTCTGGCTTTCAGATTGATCACATATACATCAAAAAAATTTTTTTTTTTTCGAAAAAAGAATCCCCAAACGTTTCTTAGGTTCATTAAAAGAAACTTTATATTAGGGGTTATCCATTTTATTAGAGTTCGAGAATACGAGCTCAATTTTATTGACGGTCTCTTTTTTTTTTTTTTTTTTTTCAATACGACCTTTAACAGTTATTACTTGTGTTTATGTTGTTCTCCCATTCAGAAGAATTTGGGACTGAAAGTTATACTGATAAATCAAACATGAAACGCCCTAACGATTACGGAAATCAAAGTCACGATAATAACCAGAAAAAACCACGTTTCGGACAAAGTGCTTATAGCGGTAATAATTATTCTATGGGTGGAGGTATGAGAAGCGACCTTGCACAAGGATCCTCAAATAGTGATTTATATAGTCATTTTCCTCCTGTTGGTCCATCAGCAATGATGATGGGTAACCCTACATACTCTCAAGGTGCGGCCGGTTTTCACCATCATCCGGGTCATACTGCCGGCCACTTTGCAAGCATGAGCGGGTACCACCAAGCCTCACAATACGCTACCTCAATGAATCAATATACTCCTAGTGTCAGCAGCATGGTTCCTCAATTTTCTGGAGCTTTTTCTGCCGCACAGTTTCCAACTTCCTACCAACAGACCGCCGTCGCTTCTCCCTCTACAAACGCAACTGGTCGAACCGTTTATCTCGGAAATCTTCCTCCAGACGTACCAGTTGATGAAATCCTTAACCAAGTTAGAGTCGGTCCAATAGAATCTGTCCGTGTACTTGCTGATAAAAGTTGTGCTTTTATTTCGTTCATGGATGGCGCTGCGGCTATGGCATTTTATCAAGATGCTTCAACTCGTAAAATCCTTATCCAAGGACAAGAATTGAAAGTCGGATGGGGTAAAGCTTCTCCGGTACCAGTTAATGTTCAAGTTGCCGTTTCTACTCAAAATGCTACACGTAATGTTTATCTGGGTAATCTAGATGAAACTATAACAGAAAGTATTTTGCGTGAAGATTTGTCAAAATATGGCAACATTGATACAGTTAAGATTGTTAGAGAAAAGAACATTGGTTTTGTTCACTTTTTTACTATTTCTAGTGCCATGAAGGCTGTACAAAGCTTACCAACCGAACCCAAATATTCAAATAAAAAAGTAAATTATGGAAAAGATCGATGTTCTCAGAGGCCCAATTTAGGCAATGGCACGACTGCTCAATATGCTGGATTCCCAACAGGAGCTCTTAATTTTCAAAGTTTCGGTAATGCCGCTATGGGATTCGGTTTTGATCCATATCAAAATGCGGTCGTCGCAGCCACTAGTCATCTTGATAATGGTACTGAGCTAAGAAGTCCAACTAGTCCATTATTCTCTTCTGCTTCATCTGCGGCTGGTAGTGCTACTTCTGGTTCAACCATTGGTAATCGAACGATTTATCTTGGTAATATTCATCCGGATACGTCATGCGAAGAAATTTGTAATGTTATCCGAGGTGGAATTCTCCAACAAATTCGCTATATACCGGAAAAGCACATAGCTTTTATTACTTTTATTGATCCTAGTGCTGCAAATAGCTTTATGTATTTGGCTCAACAAACAGGCGTTATGGTCAAAAATCGTCGCCTTAAGATTGGTTGGGGAAAAAATCCAGGACCTTTACCAGGATATATTCAATTAGCCGTTAATACTCAAAGCGCCTCCCGTAATGTTTATGTGGGGCAAATAGATGATAATATCAGTGAAGAGAAACTTAAGAGAGACTTTTCCGAATATGGTGATATTGAACTTGTCAATATTCTTAAGGAGAAGAATTGTGGATTTGTCAACTTTACTTCGATCACATCTGCTATGAAGGCCATCGAAAATATCAAGTTGAAGGAAGAATATAAAAAATTCCGTATCAACTACGGAAAAGATCGTTGTGGTAATCCTCCGCGAGGTTCTTCTGCTAGCTCAAGTAATGGTACTGGTGGAAAGACCAAAGGTCGTAACAACGGCGAGTCCGATGCTAGAGTTCTTCATGCTGGTGATTCAGAAACTGGAAATATCGATATTGTTGACGATGAAGTTGGGGACGAAGTAGATGAATAATGGACAGTGGTTAGTAAGAACCTTTCAAATGCATTGCATCTGAGGAATATCAAATATTTCTTTTTTTTTTCCTTTAGTTATTCAGTCATTCAGTTATTCAATTACTTAGTATTTGGAATGTTGTATAAGAAAATTTGGGTGAATCTATGGTTTGAGGATGTCCTTTATTTTTTTTTTTGATTTCATCCTTTTTCTTTCTTGTAGCAATATATATTTTTTATTCCAAAAAATTCCTCTCTCCCTTTGTTATTCAGTCTTTGGAAACTTCTTTATTAAAAAATTTATGTTCTATTTTTCTTTATATAATCATATGATTTGTTGGTCTTTTTTTTTTAAAAAAAATTATTATTTTCTTATCATGTTTTATTATGAGCCGCTGGTCTATTTTGGGTTGTTTGGGTGATCTTATAATTTTAAGTAACTGTAATGGATGTGGGTTTTATTTTTTCTCTTAAAAAAAATTTTAATTGTTGGACTGTTTTTTATAGTCCTTAAGTAATCATTATAGATATTAATTTTTCATTTTTTCCTACCCATTTCCCTTTCATTTTTTCTTCATTTAGGGGTTTTTTTTTCTTTTTAGTCAAATACGGTGATCAAACTTAGTTTGTTTCAATGGTTAATTTATTTGATCATTAATATTTTCATCTCTTTTGATCACCCTATTTACTAAATTATATAATTATTTTGATCATTCCAAATTTTTCTTATATATTTGATTTCGTTTTTCTTGTATCTAATTATAAAGCTTTCCCCTCTTTTTATCAATTTTTTTTTTGTGTAAGCTTTTCGTTTTCGATATATATATATTTTTTTCCTTCCCTGTTGTTTTAATTAAACCTTTTTTCTTTCCTTTTTTCTTTCCTTTTTTCTTTCCTTTTTTTTTTTTTTTTTTTTCCTCCAAAGAAAGAAAAGAAAATTCTATTGTATTATTTGGTTGATTTTTTTATAGACTTTTTTTTGCAAAAAAAAAAACCACCAAAAAAATTTTTTTCTTTTTTTCATTAGGTCATAGATTTGCATTAATTATTTTTTTTCTATAAAAAAAATTTTCAAAATACAAAGAAAAAAATTCCTTTCCGAGAAAATATAAAAATAATAGCATTAATATTCTTCTTTTTATTAATTATTTATAATTTGATATTTATCTTCGATTTTTTAATTAATCATGCCTCTTTTTTTTTTTTTTTTTTTGAGGTTTTCTAATTTGAGATTTAAACCAATTTGCTATTTTGCCCAAAGTTATTCATTTCAAATATCATATACAAGTTTCTTTAACCAGTTTCAAACGCAGTTTTATTGTTCAAAGTTTTTATCATTATCATTATTTATTATCATTATTTATTTATTATTATATACGTAACAGCTTTTCATTGATAATTTATTGCACAAGGTTTTTTGATCGAATTATTTTATTTTTTGATTAATCGCCGGATAGACTTTGTTAATTATTTGCCCAAACATATAAACGCCCTCGTCTCTAATTAACTAACTTTTTTTGTTTCCACTTTAAATATATATATAATTTCCATCATCCTATCCTATGTTTCAATCGCGACGATGAAAGGAATTCATCACCTTTTTCAAGTGTACTTTCTGGGGGTTGGTTAATCGACAACTTACTCGATTGGCAATACAACCTCATCGATCTCTTCAAAGTGTTGGATACGTTTTGCGCGAGCTTGTTTTGTTTTCTTGGATATCATTAATGTAAGTTTTTCAAGTTAATTTTTTTTAAAAAAAAAAAGAGTTTTCACTTACATTATCAAATCCTCCATCATTAAATTCATCATCAGTTGATTCAAAAATGTGAGTAACCTTCTTAACCTTCCTAGGTTTATATTCATTGTGTGCTTTTCTTTTTTGTTTTTTTGGTGATGGCTTCTCTTCTTTTTTATTTAATACTTCTTCATTATCGCCTAAAAATATTCATGAAAGCGTGTCATTAATAATAATTTAATGCATCATTAAAATTAGAATTATTCCTTTTAACGCACGTTCGAAGCGTTGACGGCGGGGAGGTAAAACAGCAGCTATTAAGTCAACAGTTTTTGTAATATTTGAAGGCGTTTTTTGAATTTTTATAGATGCAAGGTTCACTGATATTTTAACATTTTCTGCTGAAAGATGATCCTCATAATGGTTCGGTTGGCTATGATCTTTATCGACATTTTCATCTTTTTCATTCTCGCTTGAAATATTAGATTCTTCGTTATTCTGTTTTCGTCGAGTCTCATTTTGTTTATCAATATCAATTTCGGGTTCCAAAAGAAAGTCATTATAACAATCTGTGTCATTAATCTTTTTGATTATTTGACTTTGAAAGTAATCGTTCTCAAATTGATCAGATTTTTTGGAATTATTCGAAATCTTTTGATTAATGTTGCCATTCCTTTTCATTATCTTCTTTTCAGCCTTCACGAAACCAAAAGGATCATCATCACTATCTTCCTCATCTGGCTGAGTATTCATCCTTTCGAGTGTTGATAAATTATACCCTTGAGACAGGTTCCTTGATTTTACTAACGGGCTAATTTCTTCGAATAAAGGTTTCCTATTGTCTTCCATCGAAGTCAAAGTTCTAGTAGGAGATAGAGATCTATTACATCCCACTTCTGTAGTTGATGAATGATCATCATATATTAAATATTCTTCATCAGAAGAAGATAATATTTCAATAGAATGTCTGATTGAGGATTGAATAGGAGAAATATTCAGTAATCTTTCCGATGATTTTCCAAGGTCTTTTACTAATTCCGTTGGCAGTTTTAATTTAAATATTGGCTTATCATTTATACGACTTGTTTCTTTTGAAACTTCTGTGTTTTTTTCCAAGTCCCTTTCTATAAATTTTAAATAAAAATTATATCATTAAAAAAAATTCTCATTAAAAAAGTGAATATGTATTTACCCTCTTTTGTAAATTCTAATACACTTTTTTTAATAATTGTTCTTGGAGGACGCGGCATTGTGATACATATATATTATATTGTTACGGAATGTTCGTGTTAATAATGAAAGTGCTCAGAATTGAAATTTATGAAATATTATTTTGCATTTTATTTAATAGTTATTTCGTTTTATTTGTCCGAAACTACTTGTTTAATTTATCCGCAGTAAAGCTCAAACTGTACAAAAACGAAACAATGTAATTCTATGTCGCTTAAAATTTTTGTTTAGCAATTTAGCATTAGTAACACAATGTACAAAAATATAATTGGATAATAAATATAACGTATCCAATTCCTTACTATATAAATTAAGGTAGGGCCCCTCTTATCATTAAATCAATTAAGAAAATTTGTGTAACTTAACATGTGAGCAATAATTTTTTATGGTTTTAATCAGTAAATTTACATGATTTACTTTAAAATCACAAAATTAAAAGACTAATTTTTTATTTTTTAAATAAATAAATAAGATCATAATTTATAACAAAATTTGTATTTATAAAAAAAAATATAAATAGGATAACTTTATTTTTAAAAATAATCATTATGAACATTAATTTGAAATGTAAATTGTTTTAGCTTTTAAAATCACAAACACCTTGTATTTTTATATTTGAAATATCATTATTTAAAGGATAAATTATTTTCATCTATTATAAATTTAGAATTTATGGTTAAAAGTTTTATATTTTATAATTTTAATATTTCCTAAAAATGTATTTTTTTTATTTCTACTTTTTGATAAAATCCTTTATTATTTTGTATAAAAATTTGCTTTTATTTTAATTTTTTCAAAATTAATAAAATGTGAGGTTTGCTAGAAGGCTCTGAGCATTTTTTATTAAAATTTTAATATATAGTATGTTGCATTTTAATATAATATTATCAAAAATTAAAATACAATAAAAATTTTTCAGAGTTTCATTTTCCTAGCAAACCTCCCAAATGGTCTTGCATATAATATAATTCTATATAAATTTGATTACAAGATAATATTTTTCTTTAATTATAAGTAAATTATATTTATTATATCCTTGTATTATCATATAACCTATATATATTATATATGTATTTCATAAATTTTTGTATTTAAATTTATAATAATATTTTTAAATTTATTTGAAATATAATTTATTTTAATGATTTTTTAAAATAATAGATTTTTTTTCTTTAAAGAAAACATTCTTTTATAATTATACTTAATACATATAATATAATTCATTATTTATCAATAAATAAATTATTTTTTGTATTATTTATTTTAAATAATTATTAATAAAATAGTTACTAATATTCTATATTTTTATTAATATTTAAAGAAATTACAAAACCTAAATCTAAATTTTTAATAAGATTATTATTACTTGTTTATGTTTTTTATTTACTTTAAAAGTAAAATTAGAAGTAAAGATGTAAGAAAAGAGGTTGAGATAAAAATTGAAGTAAAAGTAAAAGTAAACTAAAAGTGATAAATTTATTTAGATTAGCATTATTATATAATGCTATAATTTCATTTTTTTTTTATTAACTAAATAATCTGTTAAAGATTACTTTTGTATAAATCAAATCAGATTTAATTTTTTTTAATATTTACTAATTAAATTATTATAATTTTTTAAAAATTATATTAAAAAAAAAAGCTAAAAATACTAAAAAATTATCTTAATTTATAAAATATTAAAAATTGATAATTTTTGATTTTTTTTAGAGAATTATCAAATTTAGCAGGTTTTAATTAAAAGAATTTGCTAAAATAATAATTTCCTTTTTAAAAATCAAATTTAGATCTACTAAAATAACAAATTTTCTTAAAAAATCATTAAATTGGCAAATTCTTATATAAAATAATAAATTCTCTTAAAAATTTTCAAATTGGTAGATTCTTATAGTAAGTTTACCAAAACAATAAGAGAATTATTAAATTAGCAGATTTATATAGTAAGTCTGTTAAAATAATGAGAAAATCATCAAATTTGATAGATTCTTAAATAAAATTAAAGAATTATTAAATTTTAACAAATTTTATAAAAAAATTCAAAAGGTAATTTTTGTTAGTAATAAGTAAGTAAATTTATTTTTTTATTTTTTAATATTTATTTTTTTTTATTTTTCTTTCTTGTAGTTATTTTTTTAAATTTTTTTTTTTAATAGATATTAAAATACTTTGGATTTTAAAGAATAAAAAAAATTTATTAATTATTTTTTTTTATAAAATTAAGTTGCATGTGACTTGAGTTAAATCATAAAAGTAATTTTATAATCTGCCAGTAATTTTATAATATAATGGTAACTTTATAGTTTACTGGTAACTTCATAACATAATAGTAACTTCATAGTCTACCGGTAACTTCATAATATGGTGGTAATTTTATAATATAATTTCATAATCTGGTAATAACTTCATAACCTACTATTCATAATCTGATAAGAACTTCATAATCTACATATGGGTAACTTCTTTGCATTTATAACATTATTCAATTGTTTCCTGTATAATATGATGGTAATTTCATAGTCTAATGATTGCTGGGAATGCTTTAATTTAATGGTGATATCATGATCTAATGATGACTGCTTTTTTCTTATTTCTAATTCATTTACATTATAAATTCTACATTATTGGTATTGGCTTTTTATCCTTGTTTGAATGCTTAGTTCCATGTTGAGAATACTGATACTCTATGCTTGTTTGGTTGCTAATTCTATATTGAGAATTTATGCATATTTGATTGTCTTTTAAAATACTGAAATGGTGTAAAAAAAGAAGCGACAGGTAGTACAGTGAATTTGCAATTAATTTTTGCCAGCTTTATAATATAATTCTGGCTGATCTTTTGGGTATGTGATTTGAGGATCCAATTTAGTGTCATAATAGCTTCATGATAGCTTCTTACTAGTGTTATAGAACTCTTCTAAAACTGTTATAGAACTCACATCAGTAAATTTAATAAAGCGAAGTATTATATAATCCCTACGTTTCATAATATTATGTAAGGTTATGAGGCCATCAAAAAATTTATGTATACGTAATACTTTGAAGCTTTATAACGTGTAGAATTTTGAATGTTTTTACATTAAATAGTATTGCAACAGTTTTGCAATATGTAGTATTGTGAGAGTTTCCGTTTGAAATTCAAATTAAATAATTAAATTTCAAATATTTGAAAATTTTTTAAAAAATATTCAAATAAATATTGAAATTTTTTCAAATATCAAAATTAATTTCAAATATTAAAAATCATTTCAAATATCGAAATTAAATTAAAAACCATTTCAAATATCGAAAATCATTTCAAATATCAAAATTAATTTTAAATATCAAAAATCATAATTTGATTTTGTTTATCAAAATATATATATTTTGTAATTTTCATTTTTTAATATTTATTTTTGGTTAGTTATTTATAATAAAATTATAAAAAAATTTCATTTTAAAATCTTTAAAAAATTTTTTTTTAAAATTATAAGAATTTTCTTTTGTGATAAGATAAGTTTCTTTTAAGGTTTTCAAAAGATAGGAGGGTTTTTTTTATTAATTTCTTTTTATTTCTTTTTTTTAGAAATAAATCTTTTGTTTTTTTAAATAGATAAGTTTTCTTTCTTTTAATAGATTCTTTAAGGTTTTTTTAAAAGATGAGTTTTTTTATTTTACTAAATTTTTTTTTACTTTTTTAAGAAATAAATCCTTCATTTTTTTAAATAAATTAAGTATGTCTTTGGATTCTCTTCAAAATAGATACTTTATTAATAATACTAATTCTTTTAAAATTTTTATACACCCAATTCAAAATATAAATTAAATGTATATGAATTAAAAGCATTTAGATATTTTTATTTTAAATTACTTAATATAAAAAAAATGTATTATAAGTATTAATTTATTTTATTTTTATTATAAGATTATTTATTAAAAACTTCTGTTAAAACTATAATTAAAAAACTCTTAATTTATTAAGTAAATAATATGGTTATCTTAAAATAAAAAATAATAAAATTATTAGTTCTTATTGATTAAACATATTAAATAGGAATGTTTCCAGTAAAATCAAGTCATAAAGCATAGTAAATCATATGATCTGTAATGTGATTTTACTGGAAACACTTCCAAATAATAAAATAATAACTATTTTGTTGTTATAAGTAAATTTTATTGATTTTATATATAATTTTATTATTATTTCTTTTATAAAATTAAAAGTTAAAATATATGAAAATTTGGAATTATTTGATCAAATTGAATATATTTTTAGTTTATATTATATATATAATAAAAAAAAATGCTTGCAATTATATAATAGATTGTTAATTTATATATTAATAGATATCGATATTATATTAAATCTTTTAATAATTATACTTCTCATTAAGCTGATTTTTTAATGAACTGATATATGCAAGTTATAAGATACCTAACTTTACAATTATAATGTATACACTTTTCTTTATTTTGATTATAATCTTCATTTAGAAGAAAATCAGAAAAAGAATTTATATCAAAAAAATTTAATATTAAGAAAATAATTATCATTTTCTTTAAATCAAACTATTGAGTTTTTCTTTGAATGTGATATTTAAAAACCAAATTAACTGATTTTTCTTTTTTTATGATTCATCAAGAAAAAAAATTCAATAACTTTAAAGATTATATCATCTGCTTAAAGAAGAATTACTTATATTCTAAGAAAAAAAGCATTAAGAAGATTATAATAAAATTTAAAGCTAAGCTTTTTAGTTAAGAATCTTCAAATAATTATTAATATATTCTCAATTTATTAAATGCTGATAATTTGAAATAAATCATCATCTTTTTATATTTCTTTTCTTTTAAATTTCTATATATTTTCAATTTTAATATTATTTAATAAAATTTGCATATTATTATTATTTGTCTTTTACTTATTTAATTTTTTTTCAAAAGCTAACAATCATACTTTTGCCTTTTTCACTTTTATTTTTGTTTTTTTCTAAATAAAAATTTGTCATTATTATTTGTTATTATATATTATCATATCATATAATCAAAATAAAATTTCATTTTATTTAAAATTATTTTTTTAAGTTCAAAATATGAAAGGTGTGAATATGTTATAAGTAAAATATTATTATTTATTAAAAATCAATTGCTTTATATACAATTTTATATAAAGTTTAAAAAAAAAATTAATTTAAAAATAATTATTTTATTTATTTATATTATTGCAGATTTCTTAACATTTTTTGCATTAATTTTATTAATTACATTAAGTTTTAATAGTTTAATAAATTATGTTAGTTTATTTTAGTAAGTTTTAATTTTTAATAATTTTGTATAATATTACTTAATATTGATTTTTAAGATAAATTATAAATGATTAAAATTCTAAATATAGATTTTAGAATATGTTTAAATAATCAAAATTTCAGATATTATTTTTAAGATATATTCTGAAAAATCAATATTTTTGATATTATTTTATGATAAATTTCAAATGATCAATTATTTTAACATCAATTTTTATCTCAAATTATTTAATATCTAATCATTTTTCATATATTTTTAAAATGTATCTGAATATTGTCAGTAGTATTTTTTATATGTTTATTTTATAGAAATAGTTACTTGATTTTTTATTAATTATTTTTTGATTTTTTTAAGATAGATCTTTACAAGATCAAATTGGTAAGTTTTTTTCTTTTAATAAATTCTTTATTGTTTTTTTTCAAAGTAGATTTTTATTAATTTAATAATTCTTTTATTTTTTTTAGAAATGAATCTTTTACATGATCAGATCAGTAAGTCTTTAGATTTTTTAGATTTTTTTCAAATAGGTTCTACTAATAATTCTTTTATTTTTTTTTAGAATAGATTTTTTATTTTCTTGGATAGATTATATAAGTATTTCAGTTCTTTTTCTTTAGGATGGTTCTTAATTCTCTAATAATTCTTTTTATTTTCTTTTTTAGGACTGATTTTTCATTTTTTAGATAATTAGATATATCTTTAAGCATTTTAGGATTTCAATTCTTGATGTTTACCAATTCTTTTTTCTTTTTTTAGAAATGAATCTATAAATAAATAAATTATATGTATAGTATTATTTTTTAGATGTTTTTTAATAGAAATTTTAATTTATTACTACAAATAATTATATTAGTATAATTTCAATTTATTATAATTTAAAAATATAAAAAATTTTAATAAAATATATAAAATAAAATTTTATTTATTCAAAATTCAACTAAATTAATAAATTTGAAGTAAATTTGCATTTCTTTTTAAAAAAATATTTTTTCTACTTTAACTGACTTCAAATTACTTCTTTTACTAGAAATAACATTACCTACAGCTGAAAACAAACATTCATTAGAAATTGATGTTACTGTTATTTCTAAATATTCTTTAGCTAATTGACTTAAAAAAGGAAATTTTGTTTTGTTATTTTCCCACCAAATTAAAGGCATAATTTTTCTATTGGATTTCATTTTTAAGTAATTATCAACTTCATTTTTATCATTTTCATCAGAACTTTCATTATCATCTCCAAGTATCATATTTATACTAGAATCATTTTTATATAATAAATCTACATTACTTTGTATTTTCAAATCATTATTATCATTATTATTATTATTAAATTTGAAGATTTCATATTTATTAATAAGTAATGTGATTGCTTTTAATTTTTCACTATCAGTAAATTTTTTTAATTTTTTAGTATGAGGATCTAATATAGTAGAGATTAATCCAACTTCTGTAGAAACAGTCCAATATTTATTAATTGCTATTTCTAATACTTTTATAACTAAAATAATTAATACATCTGTTTCTATTAATTTGGAAATATATAATTTTTTTTTTGACCTTTTTCATCAATTTTAATAATTTCAACTGCTGTATTATCAGAAATTTCATCAAATTCTTCTAAAATTTTTCTTTGAATATTTGTTATATTATTATCAGAGAATAAATCTATCAATTTTCATCATTTGATTATCATGATAAAAATCTAACATTTCTTTAATATGATTTTTTAAACTTAAAATCATTGGATATACCAAAAATATAGTAATATAATTAGATCCTCCTAATAATTTGGTAACTATTTCAAATTTTTCTAAAATTTTAACCAAATCTTTTATTAAATTCCATTCATTTTCATTTAACATAATTTTTTCTAATTTTTTTCCATCACTCTTGTTTTCTTTATTATGATCAGCTTTTAATTTATTTGGTAAATAAATTAAAGCTTTTTTTAATTCTAATAATCTTATCCAAGAACAATATGAGGAATTCCATCTAGTTAAAATATCTTTAACTGTTTTATAAACTTTAGGATAATTAAATTTTCTTGTATTGCTATTAAAAATATTAATTGTTTAGGTGAACTAAAAAAGTATACTAATCTTTTAACTCTTAAAACAAAAATCTGAATATTTTGATTCACATTTAAAGCTTTTCCTATAACTAATTGTAATGTATAAGAAGCACATGAAATTCTATTAATATCATACTTCTCATCTAATAATCTAATAACTTTAATCATGCTACCAGCATTATCTGTTGTAATAAAAGATACTTTATGATTTATATTCCAATCATTTATAATATTTTCTAATTTTTCTTTGATAACTTCACCAGTAAATGGAAATTCAACATGTTGAAGAGCTAAAAATGCTTCTTGCATTATAAATCATTTGATATACAATGTGTTGTAACTTCAATATATCCATATTGTCCTCTAGATATCCAAAAATCACAAGTTAAACTAATTTTATCTATTTCTTCAAAGAGTTTTTTTAAATCATCTCTTCTTTTATTAAAAAATCCAGTTAAAAGATTATCTAAAAATTCTTCAGTTGGAATCTCAAAAAAAGAATTTAAAGCTAAAATAAATTCTTTAAAGCTTTAATTTTTTAAAATATAAAATGGCTGCCTATTTTCAATAATAAATTTTAAACATTTTTTTTTTAAAAAAGTTTTTGATCATCATTTATTGGATAAGATTGAATAATATAATCTCTCATATCTTTTTGTCCATGAATTTTAAGCTTATTTAAAATAAAAAAAATATAAATTAATTAAATAAAATTATATTTAATATAATTTAATTTTTAAATAAAATATATATATTTATTTACCTTTTCTTCTTCTGTAAGATAATAAATTTTATGTGCTTTAGATAAATGATTAATCATATTTGTAGTTGATGGTCCATTCTTTACTTTATGATTACATATACCTTCTGGATTTTTAACTGAAATTGATGCATTTACTTGACAATAATTAAAATCATCTATAATATTAAAATGATTTCAAACAAAACATTGTCTTTTATCAAGCTTAGGTTTTTTACAAGTCTATTAGAAGATTCTTTAGAATTATCATCTAAAATTTCAAATTCATCCATTATTTTTTTGTGAAAAATAAAAAAAAATTATAATGGTAATGAAAATATTTGAGTTTAAAATAAAATTATTGTTTTTACTGTGTGAATTTTTTTAAAAATGCATGATGATGTAATGATGAGAAATTTTTTTGATGATCATTTTATAATTTATTTAACTAGTAACGAATTATTTTATAAATTCTTAAAAAAATAAATTTAAAACATTTTTTTGACAATTTTTCTAAAAAAACTTTGCAAAACTTAATTTATTTGAAGAGAAAAAATATATATTTATGAAAAAAAGATCTAACTTTAAAAAAATTTAAAAAAAATTTAGAAGACTTACTTTATTCAAAAAATTGCTTCAAAAAAACACAAAAAAAAAAATACTTATTATATGCCAAAATAAAATAAAAAATTATTATTCAGCATATAAAATCATTTCTTTTCTAAAAAAAATAAAAAAACTAGTAAAGAACCTAACTTCAAAAAAATCCCTCCAAAAAGAACTCAAGAAGACTTACCTATCCTAAAAGAACAAAGAATCAGTTCCTAAAAAAAAAAAGTAAATCAGTAAGAAACTCCAAAGAAATCCCAAAGAAATTCAAAGAAACCTAAAGAAAAAATCCAAGAAGCCTTACCTATTTGAAGGATCTGTTCCTAAAAAAACATAAATAAAAATCAGTAAAGAAAGAAAAAACCTCAAAGAAATCCAAAGAAACCCAAAGAAAGAACCTAAAATAACATATTTATCCGAAGGATCTGTTCTTAAAAAAAAGAAGTAAAATCAGTAAGAAACCCTAAAGAAACCCCTAAAGAAATCCAAAGAAAGAACCCAAGAAGCCTTACCTATTCTAAAAGAATGAAGGATCCGTTCCTAAAAAAAAGAAGTAAAATCAGTAAGAAACCCTAAAAAAACCCTCAAAAAAATCCAAAGAAATCTAAAAAAAGAATCCAAGAAGCCTTACCTATTCCAAAAGAACGAAGGATCTATTTCTAAAAAAAAGAAGTAAAATCAGTAAGAAATCCCAAAGAAACCCCTAAAGAAATCCCAAAGAAAGAACCTAAGAAGCCTTACCTATCCCAAAAGAACGAAGGATCCAGTTTCTAAAAAAAAAATAAAAATTAATAAAGGAAGAAATAAATCCTAATGAAATCCAAAGAAATCCAAAGAAAGAACCCAAGAAGACTTACCTATCTGAAGGAACCGTTCCTAAAAAAAAAGAAGTAAAATCAGTAAGAAATCCCAAAGAAACCCAAAAGAAAGAACCCAAGAAGCTTTACCTATCCCAAAAGAACAAAGGATCCATTCTTAAAAAAAAAAAAATCAGTAAAGGAAGAAAGAAATTTAAAGAAATCCAAAGAAACCCAAAAAAAGAATCCAAGAAGACTTACCTATCCAAAGGATCTGTTCCTAAAAAAAAGAAGTAAAATCAGTAAGAAACCCTAAAGAAATCCCAAAGAAATTCCAAAGAAAGAACCCAAGAAGCCTTACCTATCTCAAAAGAACGAAGGATCCATTTCTAAAAAAAAAAAAATAAAGATTAGTAAAAGGAAGAAAGAAATCTCAAAGAGATCTAAAGAAAGAACCCAAGAAGATTTACCTATCCGAAGGATCCGTTCCTAAAAAAAAAGAAGTAAAATCAGTAAGAAATCCAAAAAAATCCCAAAAAAATCCAAAGAAACCCAAAGAAAGAATCCAAAAAAACTTACCTATCTGAAGGATCTGTTTCTAAAAAAAAAGAAGTAAAATCAGTAAGAAACCCCAAAGAAACCTTCAAAGAAATCCCAAAAAAACCTTAAAGAAAGAATTCAAGAAATCTTACCTATCCCAAAAGAAAGAAGAATCTATTCCTAAAAAAAAGAAATAAAAATCAGTAAAAAGAGGAAAAAAACCCAAAGAAACTCCAAAGAAATCCAAAGAAAGAACCCAAGAAGACTTACCTATCTGAAGGATCCATTACTAAAAAAAAAGAAGTAAAATCAGTAAGAAATCTAAAGAAACCCTAAAGAAATCTAAAGAAATCTAAAGAAAGAACCTAAGAAGCCTTACATATCCCAAAAGAACGAAGGATCTATTCCTAAAAAAAAAGAAATAAAAATCAGTAAAGAGAAGAAAGAAACCCTTAAAGAAATCCCAAAGAAATTCAAAGAAACCTAAAGAAAGAACCCAAGAAGACTTACCTATCCGAAGGATCTGTTTCTAAAAAAAAAAGAAGTAAATCAGTAAAGAGAAGAAAGAAACCCTCAAAGAAACCCCAAAGAAATCCCAAAGAACCCACCATAAGAAAGAAAACTTACCTAAAAGAACAAAAGATCTGTTCCTAAAAAAAGAAAATTAGTAAAGAGAAAAAACTCACCTTCTGAAGAAACCCTCCTATAATTTAAAAAAGTTTTTTAAACTAACCTATAAAATAAAATAAAATAAAATTAAAATAAACAGTTGATCAAAAATCATTTCGAATATCGAAATTGATTTCTGATTATCACCATTTAAATATTTACCAAAATATTTGGTAAATCCGATTATCAATATTCGAAATCAGTCAATCAATTTCAAATATTTGATTTTTTTTATTTGACAAACAAATATTCAAATATTTTATTTTCAAACAGAAACCTTACCATCACATGATGAATAAGTTTATACCCAATCAAATATTAGAATATTATTCCTGTGACATCAAATGCTAAATTTTTTTTGGTTTGTGAATAAAAAGGTAAGAAGAGTTACTATTTTAGAGGTACACATCAAACAGGAACCAATAATAATGATCAACTCATGCAACAATTCAGAGACAATATGCATATTCCTTTGCCTACAGTTGATAATCACAAATTAAATTGATCAAAACCAAAGGGTTTTTCTCTTTAAGTTAATAATTTAACCAAGTTGCGTTAACTTATTGATTTAGATAAAATATTCATGTTGAAATGCTTTACCACTAAATATCTATAAATTGTGATACCATAATAATTCCTGAAGATCTAAGATTAAAAAAACTAGTCAAATATAAAACTTAAACAAGTTAATCAAATTAAGATCAATTTTTACTTTCAAATATTATGATTGTGGGAGGCTGTAAGGAGCATTTATTTATCTGATCAGTTTATATTAAGATAATACATTTTATTAAACAAGTCAATTTTATTATGTTATATCAGATTGATAAATATATTTTTTTTCAAGTCAAATAATTTTTAAACTTGAGAAAAAATCATCTTCAACAAATCAGTATATTTGTTTTTGACACAACTGTTATTTCGATTAAAAACATACTTTTATGTTTGGTTATTGATCAAGTTATCCAAATTTTTTCTGCCAATATAGTAATTTTACATATTATGATTATATATTCAATCATATTAATAAACAATTTTTATTACCATAAAATGCATAAAGTTTCTCCTTTAAGAAATTTTAAATATTATTTGTACAGAGAATTTATCTGATCAGTTAAATTTTGATCGTATATGAAGCATTTTTATTCAACAAGTCAAATTTAAAGTTGGTTGATAAACCAATTGATTAGATTGATAAGTTCATTCATATAGTAAACTGAATAAAAACAAACATTTGATTGATTTTTCTACTTTTGAAAATTATCACATTTTTATTTTCTTTATTTGTTTAAGTATAAACAAATATATTTTTATTAATATTATTAGATAAGCATTTTTTTTTTATTTATAAATGAAAATTTTTTTAAAAAACAGAAAAAAAATAAAACACCACAAAATATAATACACAATACACAAAAAATAAAAAACAAAACAAAATATAAAATACAAAATACAAAACACAAAACATGGATAATAATTTTGATGAGGAATTTTTTGAAGTTAATAATATTACTTTCAAAGAATTATATAGGTTATATAATTTATCAGTACATACTAGTGTTGGAAAATGATTGGGACATATCACTATTTCTAGATAACCATCAATCATGAGGCCATATGACCATCGGTCATAAGTCATAAGGTCATAAATTTTATGATTGAATAATATGATCTTTATGACCGTAGGTCATAAAATTGTAATCTTGGTCATTAGGTCACTTGGTATATAGTCTATGAGTTTAGAATTGATATTTGACGTTTTGAGAGTCTAAAAATAAAAAAGGAATAGATATTAATAAGGAAACTATTTAAAAATTCTAAATTGTTGTGGAAGATTAAACAATAAAATAAAAATTATCAAAAAAAGGATACGCAGATGTTAATCTTGTATAACATATCATCATTATAAGATACGATAGTGATAATCTTTTTTTATTTTTAAAATATAACGAAATTTTTTTTTATAAATTATGACTAAACAAAAGAGGAGTCATAACTTTTGGGAATTTTTTACTTTAGTAAAAAATGATAATAACAAATTAAATGCCAAAGCTATGTGTATTTGTTATAACCAAAAAACTATTGGAAGTTTAGCTGTTATGCAGGTAAAATTCAGATGTTTTACCTCTAATAAAGTAAAACTTTGTCAGAATCATCTTGCAAACTGTAAAAACTTTAGAAATTCATATAGCAAAGAGGAAATTACTGATATTTTGTCCTGTCCTGTTCCTGAAGACTTTTAAAAAAAATTAAAAATTGTAATGAAAGTAAATTTAATAGAAAATATATTTATTAATATTAATTGCAATTACTAATTTATTATTAATGTATAATTTAGCTATAATTGATGATGAAGAGAAGAAGGAGGAGAAAGGAGAGGAAGAAGGAGAAGGGGAAGGAGGGAAGGAAAGATGAGAAAATTTTAGTTTACAAAATCTATCAAAAAGACGAAAAAACACTTCAGCAACTTTATCATCTTCTTCTTCACTTTTCAGATAACAATCCATCACATCCTATTATACTTGACCAATGTCTATTAATGATAGACCAACATTTGAGTTTCTACTTCTTTGTATGATTATATCTAATGGCTTACCATTTACCTTTCTGGAAAATGAAGATACACAAGCTGTTTTTAATTTTATTTTGCCAGGTCTCAATTTAACAAATTGTAAAGCAATTAGTGATAGAGTTTTAAAAAAATGTGCTAATACTTTAAAAAAAAATATTACAAGTATTGCAAAAAAAGATATTGATAGCGTTACTGCAACATTTAACGGATGGACTAATGTTAAAGCAGAGCATATTTGAAGGGTCATTTTATTAACATCACACGGTCAACCACTTATTTGGGATGCTTATAATATTAGTGAAGAAGCTTTTCAAACTGAAAATGTAATTCAAAACATTAAAAATTTAATGTTTGAAACAAATTATGAGGGAATAAATATAAAAGCTTTTATATTCGATTCTGCAGGTGAATATACTGCAGCATAGTAATTTTTTTAAATTATCTAAATTACCTGTTTTTTTCTTTTGAAAAAATTATTTATTTTTAATTATTTTAAAAATCATGGTTTAGTAAACAATTAAGAAAGGAATATCTGAATAAAGTGTTTCTTCCATACATGGTACATCAAATGAACCTTGTTTTTGATGATATTTTTAAAGAAAATGCTCAATATAGATGTACTTCTATTAAAGCTGTGCGAATTGTCAGTTATTTTTATAAATCTCCATATTTTACTGGAAATTTAAGGGATAAACAAACTCAAATTTACAATAAAACTGTATCATTGCTATCTCCTGAAGATACCAGATAGAACAGTTATTATTTTTTCTTTCATTCTATTTTAAAAACTAAAGTCGCATTAAAGGTAATTTTTTTAAATTTTATTAAATAATTATTATAAGATTAGTTAATTTAATTAATTAATTACCTATTCTATTTAGTTTATTTCAGCAAAATTCAATGAACATTAATCAAATATAATTCGTACAAATGGCATTCCAAATGTAATACCAAATAATATTTCAAAAAAAAATAATTGTAAATGAAAATTACCTGATGATATTGCAGATATCATTAATGATAATGATTTTTGGTTAACTCTTTTAGAACTTCAACATTTATTGTATCCTTTATGTGGATTTTTAAATAAACTTCAAAAAGATATAGCAAGTTTATATGAAGTAATTCATTGTTTTGCGTATGTAACAAAAATTTTTAATAATCATATGAATTTAGATTTCTCAGAAAAAATGGTTGAAAGAATGGAAAAATGCTGAAAACAGTGGGAACAACCACTTTTAATTTTTTCAATGATGCTTTATCCTTTATATAAAGTTTCAAAGTTTCATACATCTATACCTAATTTATCTATAATATATCTTAGTAAATGGTTAAAATATTATTATGAAGCATGATTTGGTCATAAACCTCAAACTATTTTAGCAGAATTTATGCAATATATAAAAGGTTTAGATCCTTATGATAATGATTCATTTGCTCAATTTCAAGGTCAATTGGTTAATTTTTGGGAATTTAACAGTAGTATAGAACCAGAATTAGCAAAAATTGCAATTAGAATACATGGAATATGTGTAAATTCAGCATCAATTGAAAGATTATGGTCAAGTATGGGATATTTACACACAAATCGAAAAAATCAGTTGAAGGTTTGCATTTTTTACATTTAATTAGTTTTAATATCTTTTTAATAATATTCTTATTATTTATTTATTTATTTAGCCTAAAAAAGTTCTTGAAATGGCATAAATTAGAAGTGATATTCTTTATAATCGAAATATTAAATATATATAAAATGGAGAAAAAAAATTCATCAACTTCATATAGCAACACCAATTATTCCAGAAGAATCAGATAATAGCAAAAATGATAATCATCAAATACTAACCAATAAAGAAAAAGAAAATTTAGCTGAAAATCCTAATAATAATGAAAATGAACCATTAATAAAAGAAGATGAAGAATGTTGAAATTCAATTATAACTGAATGGATTAATAATATAATGCATGAAAATCAATTTGATAATATTGATGATGCAACTTTTTTTTTTTAGAATTAGATATAAATTTTAAATTAGGTGGGCGGGATTATTCATCCTGCTGATGATGATTTAGCAAAATGGCCATTGAAGTTACTTTTTATTTCTAATTTAGAATCACCAGCTTTAGTGTTGAGGACTTGTATCTACTCGATTTGATTCTAAAATAGTATTAAGAAAAATTGAATATATATATTATGTATATAATATACTATAAGCTTCGTAAGAATATAAGTTAATATGCAATCTGGAGTGCCACTGTTCTTGCCTTATCTAAACTAGTTTACCAACTTTTAATCATGAAAAGGATGTTAAACTTAGATTATTGTCTTATCGTAATAGTTCAACTCCTGCTGAATGGCAATTAACCGATTATAATATTATGGATAAATTTCAGAATTCGATTAAAGCAGACATTCTTATATACGATGTAAATATAGCGGTATTTATTCGTAATTCTTTACCAGATCATGGAACTCAGAAACTATGGATGCAACAACGAAATCTGTTATTCAGTAATGGTTATTATTGTTTCGAGATTTCTAGTCATGACATGGTGGATGAAACTATTCGTCAAATAGTAAAATTAAGTAACATTTTGGTTACAGGACGTGAGGCATAAATTTATAAAAAATATGGATTATGGTAAAAATTGGCAATTATGAAAAAATATGATTCCAGATACTCTAAGTTTTTTTATTCTATATGGAAAGATAAATGCAAATCATTTAATAAATAAGACTAATTTCCTATCATCTCATTATCTTCTGCACAAGCTCGCCAGTATACCGAACTACTTTCTATTTGATGACAAGCAAGATAAACTCCTTCAGCTCTCTGCCAGATTTTCTGTATTCTATCAAATCTAGAATCTAGCTCATCTTTTGGAAATATCAAACGAGAAGCTGATATTATCTTTTCGGGCGTTTCTAATGTAAATATATTGATAAAATCTTCATCTAGTTGCCAATTTGCTGATAATTCTATTATCGCCGCTTCATAATACATAATAAGGTCAGGTAGAAGATAATATAAATTGGTTCTTAGTCTTTTGGTAAATTCAGTCTGAATTGTTTGCATATATGTGACACGCCAGCCTGTGGGACGAATCGGAGAATATGGATAGTTTTTTAAAATATTATATAAAATATCTTTACTTTGATCACTTCCAATAACACCAATTCCCAATTCCTTAGCTATATTTTTACCCCAAACATTATTAGGAAAATTTTGAGTAAATATTTTTTTGCTATGTTTACTAGCTGAGTTAAGTATAGCGTTGACTGCCTTCTGTAAAGAGGTATATACAGGTCCCTTATTTAAGGATATGCCATTATTATTTCTAGCTAAATTAAGAACGTTTTCAGCCAATTTTTGTAATGATTTATACAGACTACCTCTAGCCGATTTAAGTATATCATCAACTAACTTCTGTAGATATGTATCTATATCTATTTTAGTTGAATCTAGTAGGTCAGCTACTGCCTTTTGTAAAGATTGATCCAGACTAATTCTGGCCGGTTTGAGTGCAGTATTAACAATTGCCTTCTGTTGAGATTCATTCATATCTGTTTTAACTGAATCAAGAATTTTATCGACCATCTTCTGTAGAGATTTATCCATATTAATTCTAGCTAAGTTAAGTATATCATCAACCGTTTTCTGTATAGATCCCTTCGTATTAATTTTAGCTGATTTAAGTATAGTATCCGCTAGCTTCTGTAGAAATTTATCTATATAAGATCTAACCGAGTTAATTATGGAAGATTCATCTATATCAGTCCTAAAACATGCATTATGAATGATTTCGGCTACTGGAATGCCTATATGAAATGATAGAATCTTTCGAACTATATTACATACATGATTGAATCGCGTATGAATAACATTAGAATCCTGGAGTAACTCATTATTTTTCTTATTAATATCTTTGATAAAGCGCTCCAAGAACTTTTTTGCAGCCTTCTGCGATTGTTCATCAACAAATTTTTCAGATAAATCTTTCGCCCCAGCAGGCTGAAAATGTTCATCATAATTAATAAAACGAGCACACAGTCCTACAATATAGTTTATGAGGTAATATGAAATATCTACTTTCATATCTAGTTGCCTGGCTACATGAGCAAACTCCATACGATCCCCTTTTCGTGAATAGACTTTGCAACCTTTAAGATCGACAGAATCTTGAATTTTGGCAATGACATAACTAAACTGCTCTCCAGGTTCAGGTAGTTGATAAAGAAGAGGCTTAGGTTGCTTCCCTTCTTTGATAAGATGAGAGTTCGTAGCCAGTTTGATTTCTCTTTTGATTTTCATGCGGGCTATAAACCTCTGTACAGCCATATTATTTTTCTGGGGCTTTCATGCATCTGTCTGAATGAAATCATCAAAGTTCCAATCTGTGCTATTAATAGCATTTGCTAAAACATTTTGTACAATATCAAGTAAGGACGTTTCATTCTTTATAGATAAAGCTTTACGCATAATATCATCCCCAATATCTTTAAAGAGCTTAGAACGACCCTGTTTCACAATATCTATACCTTTGATAAAGAGCTTATTAGAATGGAAATTTGGAAAATGTTCATGTGGCATACCAAAATATTTCTTCTTACCTGTAAAAACTACAGGGAAAAGGACCTCCTCGTAGGCCATTTTAAGGAAAGTGGACTTACTTTTTTCAATCAGATAAATATTAACCTTATTACGTAAATCATCCATTGCCTGCATAGTGATCCTTACCATTTCATTCCAGTATTCCAGTTTTGAAAGGGCATTGGAACCAAACATAGCATCGCATTCTTTGAATATTTCATGAGGACAGGTAAGATAAAGAGAATCAGTATCACCATATTTTATACCAAAGCCTAACTTACCAACGTAACTTGCAACGTCTTTAAGATTATCCTGTCCAGCAGAAGTAACACCTCTGGCAAGGTGCAGAAAGAAGAAGGGAGAAATACTATTACCAGCTTCCCCATAAAACGTATTCATATAAATTTTGAGAGCACTCTGTTTGAAATTAGCACACATATATCCACTCACGACATGGCGCTGTAAAAGGTATTTCCATCCATAAACAAGCTCAAGCAATTTTTTCTTTCTGAAGGAAAGTTCATCAGCAGAATTGTTTTCATACAAATGATTCAAAGCTCCGGATAGATGAGTTTCAATATTCTGAACTTCCTTTTCCTTTTCATCTAGAAGCCGAAATAATGCATCTTCTAGAGAGATATTATGCAAGGAGGCCCTGCTCTGTAATAACTCAATTTGTTCCTTCATTTTTGCCAGGGCATTAAACTGAGCTTTAACTTTAGCTCTTTTCTGAAATAAATCTATTAGGACTCTAGGATATAATCCCATATTTTTCTCTATATCATCGTGACGAATAACCCAGCCCTCTATTTTTTGGCCATTAAGTGCAAAGTCAATATGATGAGTATCGTATTTCTCCCAAGATAAAGCGGAAAGTTGGCAAGGATCTGTAATAATTTTTTCTGGCGATAGATTGTAGGCCATGATTATACTTGGATATAAGGAGGTGAAATTCAGACCCGTGACAGGTCTCTTGTTTTCTAATCCATGACAAGGAGGTAAGACATAAGCTCCAGGATATTTACCTATCATTGATGATTCCCACGGGATCATGCTGATCAGCATTCCTCTATCAAAGGCATAAGCCCCTAGGAGATTGCAGACCTTCATTCTTCCGCATTAAAACCCGCATCGTAAAGTGGCTGAAACAAACCCTAGTATACTCACCCTCGATAAATTCTGAAATGCTACGAGCAAAAATATTTGGAATGGAGATCAGATCAGATTAAATTAGTGCTCCGAATTTTGAGCCAAGTGCAGATATCTGATCTCCAAAATGTTCGCCCTTTTTCTCATTGACGTCCAGCCGAAAAAAAGAAAAACCCTCCTTTGATCAAAGGGAGAAAAAAATAGGTAGGAGAAAGTTATCAAGCCGGTTCGCCAAATATTCGGAGCATTATGTTAAATGTTATGATTAGCTCGTAATTAATATATTTTTGATCAAGCCACTATTAATGATCCTATTTCTTGATGATTCCTTCTTTTAGGACCAAGCTCGATAATAGTTTTCTTATAATTAAGGGAACATTTCTGCCATCAGGGCTATCGTTGGGTATCTATACACTAGGCTCGAAATGAGGAACACTAACCCTATGCCCTTTTCACCCTTATAGTAAGATTCCGAATTTTAGGTCACTGACTAAATCAAAGTCTCAGAATTATTCCGCAATCCTCGACTTTCTAGCTATGTTTTAGGACTTGTACAGTTCATATATACATCGAAGCCAGAACTCTACTATTTAGCTAGACCTAGATATAATCTGAGAAAAAATAGATAATCTTTTCATATACATGAAAAGCAAGCATATTTTCAATCCAGGTCGTAAGAGCTTTGCATAAAATGGCCCGTGAATCATTTAAAGAATACATTCGTTTATAAACGATCACAAGTTGGAGTACAGAATACGTTTAATTCTTCTTTTAGCGTTTTCTAACCATAATAGATATCTATATAAGATATCTCCAGCAAAGATGCCATACTCATTTCTTATAAATTCATTATCACATATAAGGATATATGGTATCTCACGACGAAATTTGAATTTATTATATTCTTTCGTCACATTTAGAATATTGTTGTAAACCATTTTCCATTCTTCATGGGATATTCTTTTTTGTATTTCCATACAGTCACTAAAATTCAGAGTATTGAATGAATTTCCAGTACAGTGTGTAGCCCAATGTTGGCACATTCCCTGGCATGCTTCTCTGAAATCAATGTATTCTTTTTTTCCTTTATATACATATTGTTTAAACTATTATATGTATATACTTCAGTCAAGTCATAATTTTACTTCTAAATCCAAGATATACAAGCTGATCACACGAGAAACATATGGCTATACCACATTCCTGATATATCGTACTCCCATCAATAATTTTTAATTTACTACCATAGAAAGCATGTTCTTCAAAATAAACATGGAAACGTTGTTTTCTAAAATATTCTAATCTTTTCCAGATTCTTTCTTTCCACTCAGCTGGAGTTTCATTGGTTTTAATATGATGTAATCCAACATATTCATAATACTCTCTATATGATACAACAGATAGCATTATTAAATACGATTAATATATGCACTTTTGAGAATAAATAGTAATATTAACTTCTTTAACCAATTATAGTATGATTCAAATTTATAGATCTACATTTGGTAAAATATAAAGTGTTATATTGGAAAAATGTCTAAGACTAACAAGCCATGTTGATAAAAACTGCTTGGATACTTTTTGTCAATAAAAGGAATTTAGCCAATATTTAATCGTCCATAATGCTCTGAATATTTGGTGAGCCAGCTTGATAGTTCTTTATCTCTTCGATTGTTTACTAATTAACTATCCGCATGCAAATATATTCTTGGCATTCATTGCCCTGCGGAATGCGCCTATGTATAAAACATGCCCTATTTTTGTAAAAAATTCCGCTAGGAAAACCGTTGAAGGGATGCGAGCATTTTCGAGATTAAATATTCATATATTCAGTAAGCCAGCTTGATTCGGAATACTATTAGTGTTATTAATTTATGTGGATCCTTGTAAAACATCGGTCTTCCAGCAGTTCTACGAATCTTTAGCCACACTTTTTTTTTCACGTATATTATCAACATTATCCAATATCCATGCATTGGATAGTGTCTTCCTTTTAGGAGCAAGCCCAAAATTTGGAAAACTAAAGTTATCCATGATATTTAAATGGAAAAAGACTGAAATTGAATTTAACGAGCTCTAGAAGAAGTTTTCATAAAATCATTTTCATGGAGTCTAGAATTGATGAAGGATTCTTCGAGGCCGATAATATCCATATTCCGGACAACCATGATTTGACCAAACGGGATATGCTTTCATTTATATCCGCCGCTGTAGATCATCAGGGATTAATAGGGCATAATATAGATGGATTTAATGAGTTAATGGATAACGGAATTAATGATATTATGCAACGGCTTTTCAGTATAGAGCAACGTCAGAAAAATATCAGGACCCAAACTGAGGCAGATAAAAATAGGGAGGGTTTCACGATCAAAATACAATTTCATGATGTGAAAATCGATAGACCCACCTGTACTACATATTATACTGGACAAGTCTCGGATCTTTATCCTAGTCGAGCTAGACTTACAGGGCTTCCTTATGCAGGAGCCGTCACTATGGGCACTTCCATTACCTTGCAGACGCAGTATCTTGATAAACATATTGAAGAACGATCTGTAGAAATCCCACTAACGCAAGTAGGAAGTTTTCCTACAATGTTAGGAAGTAATCAATGCCATACACACTATTGCACACGCTCAATATTGAAAAATATGGGAGAAGATCCTTCAGATTCGGGAGGGTATTTCGTAGCAAAGCGGGGCGAGTATGTTGTAGATTTGCTTGAGAATATTCGATATAATAGTATGCATATGCATACCGCTGTGCGTCCTAATGAGCATGTGCGAGCAGAATTTCTCTCACAGCCTGGTGGCACATTCTCGAATAGCTCTCAAGTACGAATACGCTACCTTCTAAATGGCCAGATTACCATCGAGATTAATTCAACCAAGCTAGAAAAAGTAAGCTTACCTTTCTATCTTCTATACAGGATAATCGCTTTGACCAGTGATAGAGAAATAGCAGAGACAATAGTCTTCGATGTGGAAGATGAAAATCCTGTTGAGGCCACACTTTTTTAAGAAGAATTTAAGTGACCCTTCTTTTTCGACTTCAGAATGGGTTAACGTTTTTTGAGACACACTCAAATGTCAATTGGTACGCAACCTGGCAGTTTAAGAAAACTGGAAAAGAAATCCTCTTCCACAGTAATTTTGATTTTAATTGCTCTCATATAATCTTTCTTTTTCTTGACCTTCTCACCCAATTCCCATATGGTTCTCTTTTTGTCTGTATCCTTTTTCTTTCCTTTCATCTTGAAATTATTTTCAGATTTTGCTTCTATCTTTTCACGGTATTTTCACTTTAGAATTTCTTCCTTTGTTTCAAATTTTCCTGTCATTCGCTCCCACATCTATTTAAGTATATTGAGATGATATGGGAGCTGATCTATTAAAAATGAGTTACGAGAACTTTTTACAAAAAATGAGATTTTTGATTCATATTATAGTATATTATATGAACTTTATTAGGTTAAATTTTTAGAGGCTATTAGCTTATTAATAAAACAGTAATTTGGCCAGCAAAAATGCTTAAATTTCTGTGTAATATCAATCAAATATCTAAAATTAGATTTTATAGAAATGATCGACGTAAATT